TGGGTGGGTGGGGGGATCGTTTTTGGCTGAGATGGCCCAGAGAGTGGGGAGAGGTGTTGTTCTAGGTCCCGGTGCACAACACTGGACTTTAGAGAAGCTCACAGGAAAGGCAGTTCTAGGTCGAGCGCCGGGAAAGGAGCCCAGAGGTTCTCAGGAAAGAGAACTTGGCCGAGATTAATGGAAACACCTCCAGGAGCTTATGAGAGGAAATATTCCTGGGCCACACTGGGGGACCAGGATCCCGGGGCTTGTGGAAGATTTCTCAGGCCAAAGGGAAAGCCCGGGGCTCCAGGGGCTCTGCGCGGGGCTTCTGGCCCCAAGTCCCACGGGCCCCTGGGAAGGGGTCCCCACTGCAAGGACACGCAGGAGCCACAGAGGGGGAGGGAAGGGGATTCCACAAGTCAGCGTTTAGAGGCTCCCAGGAAAGGACAGTGACTCGGTCTGGGGCCCAGAGGCCCACGGCAAGGGCCATGATTGGCTCTTGGGGCTGCGGGGGCAGGAGGGCTCCCAGTCCAGGGGCTCCTGGGACGTGCACTTCCCCGGGGAGCAAACATCCAGCCCACTTCCCGGCCAGTGCACCTCACCTGGATCGCCTTCAGCTCCTTCAGGAAGCGGAGGATAAGCTCAGGCCCGTTTTCCATGGTGGGAATGTGCAAGTGCTGGAGAAGACTGTGCCGTGAGGACCAGGAACCCCCTTCTTCCCTCCCGTCTCCAATGGCAGCCCCACCTCACCTTGCCTTGGTACAGGATTTGGTGCACAGGGCAGACCTGGCAAGCAGTGCCTGAGCCAAAGACTTCCCGGACGCGCCCCTCCTGCAGCGCCCGCAACAACTCCTCCATGGTGATCTTCCGCTCCGCTACCCGGAACTCACCCTGCCGAGCCACACACGTGTGAGCCCGGGGCGGCCCTCGCCGCACAGCCCTGCCTCTCCCTCCCTGAGAATGGGGACAAAGACACCCGAGGAGACAGGCACCCAGAGAGAAGGGGCAGAGACGTGCTACCGTGCCCCAGCCCCCCACCCAGAGCCCCCTGAGGTTCTGGCCCCCCCAACACAGCAATACCCCATCACTCCAGCCACCCACGGTCACGGCGCCCTCACCCAGGTCCGGGCCAGGTCCAGCAGGCTCTGTCTGACCACTCCAGGCAGGATGACACCGTCCAGTGAGGGGGTCACCAGTTCCAGCACTGGGGCAAGTATAAGGGCTGGGGGGTTAGCTCACGCCCTCAGGCACACCCTCCCATCTTCTTAGGAAGCCACCCCAACCCACCCACCCCCATCCGTGAAACCTGCAGTTGGCTAGGACTTAGGATAGACCCGCTTCCCCAGGGGGTGGGGGGGGGTGGGGTGTCATGGGAGGGCTCACCCCCGTCCTCGTGGGTCCAGTAGATGAAGATGTTCATGGTGCCCACCTCGGTGAGCTGCTGGTCAGGCCCATAGAGCCAGAGCACCTGCTCACAGCCCCTCTTTTTCGCCTCCTGCTGCACCAACACCGTGGGCCCGTAATTCCTGGCAGAGAGAGAAGCATGGTTGACCAGGAAACCGGCTCCTTCCTCAGACTCACCCGAGGGCTCACTGCCTCCTCGGTGAACAATGCCCCAGCCATTGGCATCACAGTGCCGGCTGCTCTGGATCCTGGGGCTTCCACTAGCCCGGGGGCCCCTGGAAGGCAGGGCCCGGACCTGATTCTTCTGCATCCCCAGCTTCGCCCGGCCCAGGGCCTGGCCCTCGGGAGACCTCACAAGATAGGTGTGTGGAAGGGACCCGAATGAAGCTCTCAGCTGGGGTCACACTTGCTATCCCAACACACCGTCACCCCACCTTCTGCTTGGATCACCTCGGGGGGTGGGGGGACCCTCCCTGCCCTGCTGAGCCGAGGACCCTAGCAACAGATTAACACAGGAAGCCCACACAGAGCATGGTGGTCACTGGAGGCCCAGGGGACTATGAGAGCTGCGCATGGGGGTGGGGAGGTGGGGGCGCTGGCCAAGCCTGGGCATTCAGGGGAGGCTACCTGGGGGAGAGACCAATGAGCTAAGGATAAACTTCATTTCTGGAGGCTTCCCAGGAGGCCAATCCGGGTTTCTCCACTGACTTTCACCTTATCCCTTCCAAATTCTGAGCCGATGTGTCCACAGCGCTTAGCACAGACCCTCTCCCCTTAAGCACCCCACCCCCAATGTTGTTCGCACAACATCCCATCCCCACGGGCAAGCAGAGCTGTCCCCAGTCATGTGAAACAAGTCGGGAAGGACAACTGACCCCTGAAGACACAAATCCACACCCAAAGCAGATAGCCAGCGTCTCGGACATCCAGCGTCCCGGACATGTAGGGTTGGGGGAGGGACTGCTGAAGAGACTACTTACCCCCCCAGCTTGTAGTCACCGACCCCGCCCATCCAGGCCCGGATGAAGGCTGGGTCGGCCAGGAGGGAGACGGGGTCCACGGCATCTCCGGGGAAGTACGCACCCACGGGGCAGAGAATGACAAACAGGAGCGCTTGCGAGGAACGGGAGACGCCTAGTGAGGGCTGCGGTGGGCAGAAGGGGGCATCAGGGACCCAGGAGTCCAGGCCCCCAGCCCCTCCCCCTCCCTCGCCCCTGGAGCCCCTGACCTCCACCCCGCCCCCGAGTCAGGGAGTCAGGCCCACCTCATTCCCGATGAGCACAGGCCGGACGTAGAGGCTGCTGTTGTTGCCCTCAGGGACCCAGTCCTTGTCCACTTCCACCAGCTGGCGGATACACTCGAGCAACTCGACCTTGTCAAAACTCTGGGCAGGATTCCCACGAGTCAGCCGCCCACCTCCCTGCTGCCCTCACCCCATGCCGCACCCTGCTCCCCCCGGGGCCAGCCAGGGCCCCTCACCGGCAGGCAGAGGCGCAGGGCTGAGCGCAGCATCCGGTCCATGTTGAGCCAGGGTCGGAAGAGGCGCACGCGCTGGTCGCTGCCTTTGAACGCCTTCATGCCCTCAAAGAGCTGCGGGGACAGGTGGGTGGGTCCCTGAGCTCAGAGACCACCTCAGGGAAGCCGCGAGACACATTGAGAGATCCCAACACAGCGCCTGATACACAAGGATTCAGACACAGATGCAGAGACGGAGCCGAGAGACCAACCCGCTGAGCGCAGAGAGGAAGAGAAGGGGGACAAGAGAGACGGACAGAGAGAGCCCAGAAACAGCTGGACACCCACAGCCAGAGGTGCCGAGAGAGCGCCCTGCTTAAACCCCTTCCATGTTACTGGTTCGATTTCTCAGGAACAGCGATGGCATGCAAGTTCTCTTTTTAAAGACTCCTTGCGGGGCGCCTGGGTGGCTCAGTTGGTTAAGCGACTGCCTTCGGCTCAGGTCATGGTCCTGGAGTCCCTGGATCGAGTCCCGCATCGGGCTCCCTGCTCGGCAGGGAGTCTGCTTCTCCCTCTGACCCTCCCCCGCCTCATGCTCTCTCTCTCTATCTCATTCTCTCTCTCAAATAAATAAATAAATAAAATCTTTAAAAAAATAAATAAATAAAGACTCCTTGTGTTCTTGAGAAGCACTGAACTCGCTGTGGATGAAATACTGCATAGCCCAGGATTTGCTTCAAAATCTTACAGGAAGGGGGCATGACGATGGGAGTCCAGACGAAATGAGAGGGTGACCCACAGGTGTTAGCTGATGAAGCAGGGTGGTCAGCGGGGGGCTTATATATTATTCTATTTTTATGTTTGAAATTTCCCATAATAAAAACTTTAAAAAAATCTCTACACCCTACGTGGGGCTCCAGCTGATGACCCTAAGATCAAGAGTCACATGCTCGACTGCCTGAGCCAGCCAGGCGCCCCCAAAACATTTGTTAAAGTACAAAAAAACAAAAAACCAACACAAAGTTGATCTGCACCCCCAGCTGGATGTTGACCTCGGCCTTCGAGGCCTCACAGGGAGGCTGACACTGCAAACCAGTTACTAGGGATGAAATACGTTCATCCAAATTCTTGTCACCACTGAAGCTCCCTCAGGAAGACTCTGCTTTCAGCCATGGCTTTAAGTCATAACCTGAATGCCTCCTGGATATCTTCCTTAAAGTCCCCTCACCAAGTCCTGCAAAGCCAATCTCCTGCTGGGTCCCCACAGGGGGACAGCCCCCTGGCCTACCTGGTCACCTGGCCAAAACTCTGGGCACCACACTTGGCCCTCCCTTCCCTGCTCTCGTCCAGCCTCCGGCCCCAGCTCAGGCCTCCTGGCCTCCAGCTCATCCTCCATCCGGCCTGAGGGGGTCTCACTACACCCAGAGCAGACCCTGCTCCATGTCTGCTCAGAGCGCTCCAGGTTCCCAGTGCCCTTGACAAGGTGCCAGCCCCGAGGCCCCTCTGCGGCCCTGATGACATCCTCAGCCTCCTCTGCCACGTTCCAACTCCCCAATTCCCCCCGATACTCCGGGCTCTCCTTTGTCCCGTGGTTGCTCCCTCTCCTGCTAACACCCTAAGCTTCCTCTGCCAGACGAGACCCTACTTCCTTTCAAGTTAGAGGTTGGACTGGTGCCTCTTCTGGCTCCCAGAACACCTCAGGTGCCTCCTTCAGAGCATGACCGCACAGGGCTGTAACCAAAACGTGGGGTTTTCGAGTAGAAGAACGGAGTCTGCTCTTCTTGGGGACCCCGGCATCAGCCAGCACGGGGCCTGGAACACGAGAGACCTCAGAGAACACATCTTGAGCAAGAAGAAACAGACAAAGAGCAAGCCCAGGGCGGTGGACCCGGCAAGCGACAGGGCAAGAGGAAAGCGATGCAGAGAGACGGGCAGAGAGGTCAGCGGCCATGCCTGCATTGAGTAGTGGAGGCCGGAGCAGGCGGGGTGCAGCGTGAGGTTCTGGAAGGGCTGGATACGGGGCTGGCCCCAGCCCTTCTCCTCCTTCCATTCCACCATCAGCATGTGGTCAGTGAACGTCTTCCCAAACACCAGGGGCTTGCTGGGGTCAGGCTTCTGATGAGGCTCCCGCGTCATTTCCAGCTGCAGGTCTGCAGCCTGAGAAAAGAGAGGGGACCCGGGTATCCTGAAATCTCGTCGCAACCTCAAACTGAAAAACTACAACTCCCATGAACCTCTGGGGCTAAGACCCAAAGAGAAGAGAGACCTGTAGCCCCAGAGGCTCGTGGGACATGCAGTATCAAATCTCTCCCACAGCCTTATGGCGGACTGTTAGGACCCCACTGCCAACCACCTTCACCTTTGGACCCTGGACCCTTTTGGAGATGCCCAAATCCAGCTGCCAGCCCCTTCCTCAAACCTAAGAGTCCTGGCCCCCAGCTCCCTCCTCCCTCAGGCCCAGTAGTCCTGGCCCCAGCCCCTCTTTGAGATCCCAAAGTACATTCCCCTCCATTCACCTTGAAGTTGGATGAGGCATATCTTCTGGGGCCACACAGAAGCCAAGAGACAGGGAGGAGTTTTCGGGCCCAAATCTGAGGGTGCGGACAGAAGTAAGAAAGGTGGTGAGGCCAGGAAAGGTAGAGAGAGCAGGGGACCCTGGAGCCTGCTTTGCCACTACGCACTTGGAATGTCCCTCTGGCCTGATCTGTCCCAGGCCCAGTGCATTCTAGACGGACCATGTGGCCCTGGACAAGTCGGCTCCCCTGTCAGGCAGCACCTAGTGGGAGAGAATCCTGAAGGAGGCCAAGACCCCTCCCTGTCCTCACAAGGACAATCCCTAGGAAGGGCTGAATCAGCTCCTATCCCCTCCATGCCAGGGCAAAGTCAAACACAGGCACCTCCCACTCCTGGGAACTTTGGCCCCAGCCCTGAGATCAGCTCAGACAGAAGACTGCGAGGCAAAGTGCACAGGTAAGTGACGGCCACCCTGGGGGACCCAAATCCTGATAAGAATTAGAAAAGTGAGGGGCGCCTGGGTGGCTCAGTTGTTAAGTGTCTGCCTTTGGCTCAGGTCATGATCCCAGGGTCCTGGGATTGAGCCCCTCATCGGGCTCCCTGCTCGGCGGGAAGCCTGCTTCTCCCTCTGCCTCTCCCTGCTTGTGTTCCCTCTCTGTGTCTCTCTCTGTCAAATGACTAAATAAAATCTTAAAAAAAAAAAAAAAAATAGAAAAGTGAGGAACCTAGAGGCCATACTTCCCCAGAACCCAGAAGCTGGGCCTCCGTTCCCCTCCTCCCTCAGACCTAGGAGTCCGGACCCCCAGCTCCTTCCTCCCTCAGACCCAGGAGTCCAGGCCCCCTGCCCCCTCCCCCCTCAGACCCATAAGTCCAGGCCTCCAGTCCCTTCCTCCCCCAGACCCAGGAGTCCAGGGCCCCAGCCCCCTCCTCCCTCACACCCTGGAGTCCAGACCTCTGGCCTCCTCCTCCTCCAGACCCAAGAGTCTAAGCCCCCAACCCACTTGTCCCTCAGATCCAGGAGACCCAGGCCCCAGCCCCTCCTCCCTCAGACCCAAGAGTCCAGACCCCCAGCCCCCTCCTCCCTCAGACCCAGGAGTCTAGACCTTTGGCCTCCTCCTCCCCAAGACCCAGGAGTCCAGAGCCCCAGTCCCTCTTCCCTCAGACCCAGGAGATCAGTCCCCAGTCCCTTCTCTCTCAGACCCAGGAGTCCAGGACCCCAGCCCCCTCCCTCCCTCAGACCCTGGAGTCCAGGACCCCAGCCCCCTCCCTCCCTCAGACCCTGGAGTCCAGACCTCTGGCCTCCTCCTTCTCCAGACCCAGGAGTCTAATCCCCCAGCTCACTACTCCCTCAGATCCAGGAATCCAAGCCCCCAGCCCCTCCTCCCTCAAACCACCGAGTCCAGGCCCCCAGCCCATTCTCTCTCAGATCCAGGAGTCCAAGTCCTTATTCTTTCAGGATATCAGACCAACTGGGCTCAGATTACTTGAGCTCCCAACCCCATACCTTGGACACCAGTGATTCCAATTCCCTTCAGATCCCAGGGCTGAGAGGCAGCCACATGGACCTGGGGGGTGATCCTAGTCATCAACAGAGACCCTGCTCAGATAAACATCTGTGGCCTGCCTGAGACAAACGAGGGAGAGCAAATCGGTCTGTGTCCATCAGGGTGGCCTCTCCCCAGTATTCTTTGACCTCATAATGCCTCTTTCCCAGCCTGGCAGGAAAGCAGCTGGGTCATGAAGTTGGTGCAGACGGAACAGCCTAGCCTGCTCCTGCCCAGTGAGCTGGGTGAGCGGACACCAACCAGTGAGAACGAACATGAGTGGCAGCAGTCACTGGTCAGTAGGTGAGTCATGGGGAGATGGGGGCTGCAGAGCGTGAAGTCTGAGGAGTGGTTCCGGATAGTGTGGGGTCCAAGGGCTTCTGGGCGGATCAGAGTGTAGGTTCACGGCATGGCCTCTAGGTGGCGCTGTGTAGCCCACCCAAGTCTGTGGCTAGGCTTCCGTCCAGGAGGGAACAGGACACGCACAGCGTAGAGAAAAGATAAGACACCCAGGGCAGAGACAGCCAGTATCTGGACAGAAGAGCTCAGGAGGAGCCAGAATGGAAGAAAAAATAAAAGAGAGGGAAAAGCAAGAATGAGAAAACAAAAAGACATAGAAAACAAAACTGAGGGGGTGCCTGGCTGGCTCAGTCGGAATAGCAGGTGACTCTTGATCTCAGGGTCTTGAGTTCGAGCCACGCGTTGGGTGGAGAGATTACTTAAAAATAAAATCTTAAAAAAAAACAAACCAGAAATGGAAACCAAACTGAGAACAGAAATCAAGAACACAAGATGCCAAAATAGATATGATCATAAAGAGAGACTGATATGAGAGACAGATAGGGAGGCAAACTCAGGCAAAGTGAAGTCTGGAGAAATCTAGAAAAAGGCCAAGGGTGAGATACGAAGAGGCTGAAGGAGGAAAAAGTAAGCAACGACCAGATTTCAGGTGACAGCACAAAGTGAAACGAGACCCAGAGAAACGAGGAAAGACAGAAAGATAGCGATGCCAACGCCTGGAGACAAACTTCTCAGGGATGCTTAGAGACAGAGTATATCCAGGAGAGAGAGAAGGGAGAGGCAGAAAAACACACGCACGGGGCACAGAGAAGGAGCCGGGCAATGTCCAGGTTGTACATCAGCACTGACCATCAGGACCCTCTTGCCCTGAGAGAAGCTGCTTTCATCCTTCAAGGACATTTCTGTAGGAGCGGGGGTGGGGGGTCTCCCCTCAGCTCAGGGAAAGTGCTCCGCCATCTGACACCCCAAGCCATGGGGATTGGGACCAAGGGATGGTAGATGGGCTACTGGGACAAAGAGTGTGAAAAGATTGGGGCTGAATTAAGAAACAAGGAAGGGTTGGGGGGGAGGGCACAGAGCAGGGCTCTGCAATGTGATGGAGCCTCCCCTGTGTCTCATTACAGCCTAGGACTGTCCCCAGCACAATTCAGGACCATTCTGTCAGCATGGCCCCAGGAACGTCACCATCAAAGCCCAGGACTGCCTTTGTCATAGTTCAGCACTGTCCTTCATGCTTCAGGACTGTCCCCCGCCATCACAGCCCAGGAACGGTCCCCCTTGTAATGCAGTGCTGTCCTTTATCTCAGCCAGGGACTGTCCCTATCACAGCCCCAAAGGGTCTCAGTCAAAGCCCCAAATTGTCCTCGTTGTGGCCCAGGACCGATCCCATCACATGTAGGACTGTCCCATGATAGCCCAGGACTCTCCCATCGCAGACCAAGACTGCTCAACGGCAGCTCGAGACTCTCCACCATCACAACCCCAAACTGTCCCTGCCACTGCCCGGGACTCTCCCACCACAACCCAGAAGTGGCACCACCAGAGCCCAGATGGTCCCAGTCACAGCCCAGCGTCAGTCACCCCAGACTCGGAACAGTAACAATGTGCCCTGCTCTCCATCAGGCTGGGGTAGGAGTCCCAGACGGGGTCAGGGGCAGAACTGGACGCGAACAACACTTCTCCCGGGGTGATGCTGCCGCTGTGCAGGGCTCTACACATCCCTTCTGTGAGCTGTTAGCGTTTCTTTCCTCGCTGAGAAACTGTGCTGTAAAATCCCGCTCTCCAAAACTCTGCTGGTCGGCCGCTTCTGGGTAAGAATGCACCGGGAGGATCTGTCTCTGTGACAGTCGGAGGAGGGTCCCTTTCCAACCCTGATGCGCAGCTTCGGAGAAGAGCTTGCAGGGACAGTCCACATACATCTTAACTTTCAGGGGCCTTGGGTCCAATTCCCAGTCCAGACCTGAGATCTGTGCCTTCGTCCTACCCGCACCCCTAGCAGTTCGGGGTGTCTTATCCCGGCGCCCCCACAGGCTGGCTGTTATCCCTTCCTTAACCGCCCCCACCCCACGCAGCCCTGTGCCTGTCCCATTAACCGTACCCCCCTCCATGTTTCCCTCCTACCTCCCGTTGAAGTCCCCGTCCCACCAACTACCTCCCTCCACCTCCCTCGCCCATAAAGCCTCGAGCTCCTCTCCAAGGGGCCCCTCCTTCTCGGCGCCCGGCAGCGGAACCCGAGCGCCGGGGGCGCGACGCCGGACGGGGCCGGGAGCTAGTGGTCCACCCGGAAGTGGGCCTCCCCCGCCTCCCCCC